TAGTGTCAACAAGATTTAAAATATAGTGTCAAACAAGATGTAAAATATAGTGTCAAACAAGATGTAAAATATAGCTGTCAAACAAGATGTAAGATATAGTGTCAAACAAGATGTAAAATATAGTGTCAAACAAGATCTATATTGTCAGTGTCAAACAGGATGTAAAATATAGTGTCAAACAAGATGTAAAATATAGTGTCAAACAAGATGTAAAATATAGTGTCAAACAAGATGTAAAATATAGTGTCAAACAAGATGTAAGATATAGTGTCAAACAAGATGTAAAATATAGTGTCAAACAAGATGTAAGATATAGTGTCAAACAAGATGTAAAATATAGTGTCAAACAGGATGTAAAATATAGTGTCAAACAAGATGTAAAATATAGTGTCAAACAAGATTTAAAATATAGTGTCAAACAAGATGTAAAATATAGTGTCAAACAAGATTTAAAATATAGTGTCAAACAAGATGTAAAATATAGTGTCAAACAAGATTTAAAATATAGTGTCAAACAAGATGTAAAATATAGTGTCAAACAAGATTTAAAATATAGTATCAAACAAGATGTAAAATATAGTGTCAAACAAGATTTAAAATATAGTGTCAAACAAGATGTAAAATATAGTGTCAAACAAGATTTAAAATATAGTGTCAAACAAGATGTAAGATATAGTGTCAAACAAGATGTAAGATATAGTGTCAAACAAGATGTAAAATATAGTGTCAAACAAGATGTAAGATATAGTGTGAAACAAGATGTAAAATATAGTGTCAAACAAGATGTAAGTTATAGTGTCAAACAAGATGTAAAATACAGTGTCAAACAAGATGTAAGATATAGTGTCAAACAAGATGAATATAGTGTCAAACAAGATGTAAAATATAGTGTCAAACAAGATGTAAGTTATAGTGTCAAACAAGATGTAAAATATAGTATCAAACAAGATGTAAAATACAGTGTCAAACAAGATGTAAGTTATAGTGTCAAACAAGATGTAAAATATAGTGTCAAACAAGATGTAAAATATAGTGTCAAACAAGATGAATATAGTGTCAAACAAGATGTAAAATATAGTGTCAAACAAGATGTAAGTTATAGTGTCAAACAAGATGTAAAATATAGTGTCAAACAAGATGTAAGTTATAGTGTCAAACAAGATGTAAAATATAGTGTCAAACAAGATGTAAGATATAGTGTCAAACAAGATGTAAAATATAGTGTCAAACAGGATGTAAAATATAGTGTCAAACAAGATGTAAAATATAGTGTCAAACAAGATGTAAAATATAGTGTCAAACAAGATGTAAAATATAGTGTCAAACAAGATGTAAAATATAGTGTCAAACAAGATGTAAGATACAGTGTCAAACAAGATGTAAAATAAAATTGACATTCCTTTGAATATTCCTCAAAAGTTTCCTAATAATTTTGTTTCCTCATATGAAATGTAATAATCTTTAAAAATAACCAGGCCAAGTATCCTCGAAACGATCTTAGGGCTAGGATGTCCTAGAATCAATGTTAGAAGATAAGAACCTAGAATATCCTAGAATCAATGTTAGAAGATAAGAACCTAGGATATCCTAGAATCAATGTTAGAAGATAAGAACCTAGGATATCCTAGAATCAATGTTAGAAGATAAGAACCTAGGATGTCCTAGAATCAATGTTAGAAGATAAGAACCTAGAATATCCTAGAATCAATGTTAGAAGATAAGAACCTAGGATATCCTAGAATCAATGTTAGAAGATAAGAACCTAGGATATCCTAGAATCAATGTTAGAAGATAAGAACCTAGGATGTCCTAGAATCAATGTTAGAAGATAAGAACCTAGAATATCCTAGAATCAATGTTAGAAGATAAGAACATTATAAAACTGTAAAATAAACAATTAATATGGCAACAGATTTTTTATGAAAATTGAGTAGAATTATTATTCCAGACAGGCACATATCGTGTCATAACAATAATTGTATTTAAGTGAAATATCCACGAGGGATCAAAATTACGATCTACATATTACATGATCTGTCTGTCTGTCTTCATAACATCGTTAAAAATTCAGATGTATGGTGTCCGTAATTTGTCAATTTCAATTTAAATGGATTGTTGTCACGGAAATGGTTGATTTGTAAAATTTGGACCAATTTTATAATTATTTAGATAGAAAGAAACAACCAATAACAATTTAGGTTTATGATGAATGATCATGTCTACCAGTTGATCATTGGTCAAACCTTTTGGCATTGATCTTACAAGGATAACAACTCAGGTTCACAAGAATATCCTCTACCAGCTGATCCTTGGTCAAACCTCTTGGTAATGATTTTACAAGGATAACAACTTAGGTTCTCAAGGATACCTTCTACCAGCTGATCCTTGGCAAAACCTCTTGGCATTGATCTTACAAGGATAACAACTTAGGTTCTCAAGAATACTTTCTACCAGCTGATCCTTGGTCAAACCTCTTGGCATTGACTTTTCCTGTGTTTCCCCACATAATTCAGCAGATGACGTTATTCTAACACTCTAATAAACTGTGCTACACCCTGTCCTCAAGATAATGCCACATGATAAACATACTTACTCTTCTTGGTGCTCAGATTAGGTTGTCTAATTTTAATTTATATAGATTTGTTATTGCATGACAAAGAAGTGTTTATTCTTCCATAATGATATTAAGATACAATTTCATTCAGTTTCACCTGGCAAATTTATATTTAAAACAGTGCAACTAGCTCACAAAAGACATTTTTCTTTTTGCTGTTTACTTTCAATTCATATAAACTTGTCAGAGAATGATTGTAAAACTTCTAGCTATGTTTTTGAAAACATGTTTGATTAACAAAACAGTATTTATTACACCAAAATAACAAGATATATAGTCATTATTTATTTAGCAAGTTCAAATTTTAAAATTTCAGATTAAAAAAATTAAATTGAAACTTTGCAATAGACTCATAGAAGACATTGACCTTTTCTATAAAAAAAACCTTTTTCTGGAAATTCACATGTTTTGAAAAACGTCTTGACAGAAAAATTGTAATTTCTTTATAAAAATTGAAATAGAATTTAATACTTATATTAATAATCTGGTAGAGAAAATATAATATCCAGATGTTCAGTGAATTCTGTAATTTTATTATCGTATTAAA